TGCCGCCCCCCCGGCCCCCCGTGCGCGGTCATGTGCAGCCTGGCCAAGCCCCCCAGCCCCGACGTCTCAGATGTCCCTTCACACACTAGCGTCCCACCTGCCAAGCTCAGGTCGTCATCACAACCTCCTGGCGGAATGGGTGGGGGGAGCCCATGGTATAGATGAGAAAACTGAGGCTCGACTAGCCGGTTTGGCTCGGTGGATAGAGCGTCGGCCTGGGGACTGAAGGGTCCAGGTTCGATTCCGGTCAAGGGCACATGCCCGGGTTGTGGGCTCGATCCCCAGTGGGGGGCGGGCGGGCAGGAGGCAGCCGATCAATGATTCTCTCTCATCATTGATGTATCTATTTCTCCCTCTTCCTTCCTCTCTGAAATCAATAAAAATATATTTAAAAAAACAACAACAAAAAACTGATGCTCTCGGTAAGTGATGGGATTGGGTTTGCAATTCGCATCTGTTGGCCTCAAACCCCTGTTTCTTTGAAACGTGTGATACAGGGGGGGGGGGGGGGGGAGGAAGCTCACATTTCAGTTCATTTGCCACTGAAATATATTCTATGAGGTGAAGGTCAGGCACGTCGGTGAATTATCTGGATTTATCAGCCGCGATTCACCCTCACTCCCTCCCTCCTGACTGCCCTGTTCACGCTCTCGAGCCTGGCGGATGCGGCTCAGCCTCTGAGGCAGAACCAACTGCAGGCAACTGGGGTTTCCCGACAGGCTGTCAAGCGTGTGGCCTTAGAGCAGGGGTACTGCCTGTGTGCACGCAGGGGGCCGTCACGGGTAATGGTGACACGTCTGCACACAGACCCCAGATAAACCAATCCCGAGGCTCACGAACACACGCCCCCCAGCCCGTCCTGGGAGGAATCGGATCCTAACGCCAGAGGAACCCCTGGGTTTGCCTCGGCCTGTCCGACACTCCAGTGCTGGCAACTCGGGGTTCTACAGCTCAGGGAGGCCCCGGCCTGGGCTGCAGCTGCCTGTTCCCCCAGAGTCTGGACTTGCAAGGCTCCTCCGGGCCCCGGAGGTGATCAAACTCCTTCGACACCACTCCGAAGGCAAGACGCCTCCGGCATAACTTCACAACAAGGTCCGGCTCGAGGTGTTCTGAATAAGGCGAAATGCTAGTACGTAACTTTCAAGATACTGTTTTTTAAAATTATGATTCCTCGTGGGCCCCCTCCTCTGCACGGACTCTACGCTGCTCTCCTGCGAAGCAGCTCCCAGGGGAGATTAGAAAGCGGGATGTGCGGGCTCAGACCCGGCTCCACGTGCTGGCGGATGACATACAAGTCCTCCTGAGACGAAGACCCAGGGACGAGGCCCCACACGACCCATTTCTGGACCACAGTCCCCGCGCGACCCGCATGCAGCACACCAGGCACGCAGGGACCGGAGGGCGGGACTCTCCAGGTGCTGTGGGGGCAGGTGACAGAGGCGAAGGACAGCTCCCTCTAAGGCAGTGGTTCTCAACCTTCCTAATGCCGCGACCCTTTCATACAGTTCCTCATGTTGTGGTGACCCCCAATTTCATTGTTACACATTGAACATAATTAAAGCATAGTGATTAATCACAAAAACAATATGTAATTATATATGTGTTTTCCGATGGTCTTAGGAGACCCCTGTGAAAGGGTTGTCGGACTGCCAAAGGGGTCGGGACCCACAGGTTGAGAACCGCTGCTCTAAGGGGAGTCCCCAGAGGCAGGGTGGCGTGTCGGCAGGAAAGCCTGTTTGCTGCCCCCCCCCCACCCCCCTTTCTGGCCATCACAGGGGAGAATGACAAGCGTGGAGGAAGCTCTGAGCCGGGAAGACTGAGTCCTGCTGGCTTCTGTCTTGCGGATCCTCACAGCGGCTCAGCTGCTAATCAAAGGGAACCCACGCTTCCTCCAGGCCCGGGTTGCGGGCTCCATCCCCAGTGGGGGGCGCACAGGAGGCAGCCGATCCTGATTCTCTCTCATCATCCATGTCTCTCCCTCTCCCTCCCTCCCCCTTCCTCTCTGAAATCAATAGAAATATACTTAAAAACGGTGACTAGTGCGGACCTCTCGTCAGGAGGCGGGGTGGGGGGGTGGGCGCACAGTCTTCGAGCTTTGGGAGAGGTTTGTGGGGTCCACACTGAACAAAGCCATGGGCCCATCGACTAAAACGAGGGAAACCCCCAAATCCTCACACCATGGGCTTCACGTCTTTTTGAGGCGACAGACCCGGAGTCAAGACCCAGGGGCGCCTGCTTCTCATCGGAAACGGGGCTGCTTGCCTCCCAGGGCGGCTTGGAGGCAACGCGGGCCAGGACCTGGGCCCAGGGCGGCGCCTGCTTGTCAGGGTACCGGCCACACCCACCAGCCTCGGAGGCACAGGCACCCACATGGTGTGACCCCGACTTCTGACTTCCACCCTCCCCCCCAGACCTCTCCTCCAGGAAATGGCCCTTTCACTCATCTAGTTCCTCCACCAAAATGCCGGTCACCTTTGGATTCCGCCTCACAGCCACCAGCCTCATCGGAAACGCTGGGCTCCACCTGTGAGATACTCAGCACGGGACCCCCAGCCCGGCCAGGCTGCCCTTCCTCACTGCCCGCTCCCCACGTGCGGCTCCCACCTCCGGGGGCTTCCCAGGGACTCCGCCCGCAGAGGAGCCCAAACCCAGACACCAGGTCTGGAATCCCGGCGTGCCTACCCCGTGAGCCAGGCAACCATGTCTGTCCCGGCCCCGCCCGCCTCACTCTGGGAGCCACACTGGCTTCCCGGATGCTCCCAGCCTCCAAGCTCAGGCACCGCAGGGGCTCCAACCTCTCTGGGAGCTGCGGGATATCCCAGACCCCTCCTCTCTCCATTTGTGCCCCGACCCCCCACTCCATTCCCGTGACGTAAGTCCCACGAGAAAGGAGCTGTTGTCTGCTTTCCCTGCTCTATCTCCAGGGTCACCTGGCACATGGCTGATGTCCAGGAAATGCCTGTGGGATGGTGGAGTGAGCACCCTGGAGGGGGAATGGGCTACCCACCCAACAGAAGGGGCCACCACCCAGCACAGGGCTCCCCGCTCCTGGGGGAGGCCCCGGGGGGAGGCCCCGCGTGCAGGCAGGGTGAGTGCCGGCACTAAGGCGGCGCTCGGCGCCCCCGCCGCCCCCCGCCCGGGGGACCCACGTACCTGCACGGAGTTGAGGTGGCAGTAGCCGTTCAGCGGGAACCGGATGACGTGCGTGGAGTCGTGGTTCCAGCCCGCGTTGACCGAGTTGCACATCACGTCGCCGATCTCGGGGAACACCTCCTCGATCAGGGACTTGTCCCCGCTGAGCGTGATCCTCTCGCCGAGGTCGGGGGCCACCCGCACCACGAGGCACTCGCAGGGCCTGCAGAAGCGGCCCGCCTCCCTGTCCTGCTTCCACCTGTCCATCTCCAGCAGCATGGGCTGCAGCTGGAAGTACTTGGCCTCTTCGTACAACAAAGTGTAGTCCTGGGGGGGAGACAACACACGCATGTCACACGCAGAGCACACGCCAGGGACCGGAAACGGCCCCGCGCAGGAGCCGAGCTTTCCGCCTGCTGCTTCGATAATGAAATCTGGGGGAACGTGTCACCCCTCGCGCATCTGCATTCGCACGTCCGTCCGTCCATCTGTCCATCCGTCAGTGACTAGAAAGGAGC